TGTGTGTGTGTGTGTGTGTGTGTGTGTGTGTGTGTGTGTGTGTGTGTGTGTGTGTGTGTATGTGTGTGTGTAAGAACTGTAGTCCAATGAGAAGCACGTAAACACACACTGATTGAACAACCATCATCATCTTCTCTAGGTGTGGTTCAGCAACAGGCGGGCGAGATGGAGGAAGCAAGCAGGAGCCAATCAACTGATGGCATTTAATCACCTGATCCCAGGGGGTTTCCCACCTTCAGCCATGTCCAGCATCCCTCCCTACCAGCTCTCTGACAGCGCCTACCCCCCCCCATCTATAGCACAAGGTAAGGACACAGGCTCAAGTGATTAAAACAGCTGTTGACGGTTCACGTGCAGAGAAGTTTGTACAGATTTGAGCATGAGGTTTTTTGTCAATGCAAATAATAAACTATAATTTTTAGAGGAGAAAATGAAAGAAAGCTTTGTTCAGAGTTGTTTGTGATAATTTATCATTCTACTGGCTCCAAAACTAAATTTGTGGTATAAATAATTTACCACAGAGGTTATTTGAAGTTAAAGTTTGAATTGCGACATGAAATCACAAAAACCTACTATCTGTTTTGCGCGTTTGTACTTTTTCAGTTTCTTTTTGAAATCAAAAGTTTTTAATTCAACAAAGTTGTATTTTGACAGAAGTCTTGCTTTTTATTACATCGCAACTCTTCGTTTGTTGAAGTGGTTAATTTTGGAATAGTTTTCCTTAATGCAGAAGTAGAACATTTACTTTTTCATACGTTGTGAACAGACATGTTTCCAGCTAACTTTACCCATCATTCCCTTTGGTAGTGTCAGAGCCTCCCAGCACAGTGCACCGGCCCCAGCCTCTGCCTCCCTCCTCGGGTCACCAGGCCTCCGGCGCCGGAGGACAGGGTGAAGGAGCCTCCGCCTACTGCCTCGCCTCCGGACGCCATTCCTTCTCAGGCTACTCGGACAGCTTTGTTAGCCCCGGAGGACCGGCCAATCCCATGAACCCCACCATCGGGAACGGGCTCTCTCCACAGGTGAGACTGCAGCCTGAAATATGTGCCTTTCACCTGGATGGGGATACAGCTTCATACAACACACCTCCAATCAAGCATCAAGTCATTTAGTGTTATTTAGAAGATTCTTTCCCTTAGCAAGATTTAAGGAGAAATCTGTTGAGACTGTGTGATTTGATTCAATAAATATACTAATATTCTGTATTTCAATCAAAAACTGATATTGGACTGATTAGAAAAAGGCTAAATTAATTTGAATCAGAAGATTTAAGTTTGCGTTTTCTCGCAGTGCACTAATTGAGCAGGTTAAAGCGATGTGTTTGAGTGTACATAGCTCTGGAGACTAGAATAGTTTTACTTGCCACATCGGAGTTGGGCAGAAGTAGATTTGGACATGATTTCAAAGATTGAAGGCGGGTTGAGGTACGCGTGATTTATCTTGTCAGACATCCAGCTTCACAATAAATCAAGGGCTCAATAAGCTCATAATAAATCAAGATGATGTTTTTTTTTTTTTCTTTCTTTTTTAAAACCTTTTCAAATAATGTTTCACCCAGGTGTGGAGAACATAAATACACACTCTTACTGCTCAAAGACCCATCGACAAACCCAGTTTACACCATAAATTGTACAGTCTGCGGATGACGCACTCCGCGGCAGAAGTGGAGGACGGGTCACTCACAGTTGCAGGAGAAAAGTGAGATGACTCCAGAAGGACAGAGGACAATTGAGCGTGTGACAAATGAGAAGTGAAAAGACAATTACAGTCAATTATCCAGGCATGAAGTCCCAAGGTCTCCGCACCTAGACGGAGGGTACGGCAGAGGAGACAGACGAGTTAGAGATCCTAACAGGCAGAAAATGAGATTTCAGCCTGGCGCAGGCCTGACTCCTCAGAGAAAAGGCCGCAGCAGTGCGAATACGGACACACACACACACACACACACTTATACAGATACACACATGCTCGCAGGTTCACATAATTACAGACACACACACGCACAGTGTAGATAATTGATCAACTCCATGACATTTTGAGGATCAGTTAAGGATTTTGCAACATCTTTTACACAAATATTACATGACATGGTTGAGCAGCATGGCTAAGTCAACTTTTCAACCCTCTGTTTAGACTGCAAGATTGATAACTGCATTTTTAATTATTTGAAATACAACTTTTTAAATTTTTTTGGACTGTTCTGTTGTGCGAGTTTATGGGAGGATCTCCTCCCGTGTTACATTGACACACCAGATAACCATCATACTTGCTTTCAAACACACACAAGATACACCGCTTCATGCTAACAGCGTTGTGTGTTAAAACACACGGTCAGACGCAGCGTTGTCACGGTCATGTGTGTGCGCACAAACACACACGCACACACACAACACACTCCACGCCATGCTGCAGCCCCGAGGGAAGCCTTTTCGTGATTGCATTCTTAAAATGTTTGCCTCGACATTCCTCCATGTGAAAGCAGAGGTTCTAATTTATTTGTATATATTTCATACCGCGCAGAAGGAATGTCCCGTCTCAGAAGTTTCACCCCAGCCTCCCTCACCCGCCTGCCCCCTCTACCCCCTTCCCTCCCCTCCCGACATTCCCTGCTAACTCCTGGACGCACTGATTTAGGCCGCTGGCAACGGCAGCGCTCCAATATGAAACACCCTGGACGCGCCGGCCAGCAGCCATCTCATGAGGCAGGGAGAGAGAGAGGGGTGATGGGTAGAGACAGGTAAAAGACAGAGAGAGTTGAGGAGCATGTATCCTTGCTCCCTGAGGCACGTTTCAGCCTCGTCCCCTCAACCCCTTGCTCTCTCGCTCTGTTTTGACAAAACCTTCCAAACGCAGGTTAATTTTTTAGGAAAATGTTACTGGGCATGGGAGGAAACACAGCTCCCTCTTCCAAATCAACATAGACTCCTCCATTCACCTCCCCTACTTGGGAAATGATTTAAGCAGGACCATGTGTGTGTGTGGATGTAGAATAATATGTCACTTAGAGGGCCAAGAGGACCCAAAGAGCAGCGTACCTGCTTCTTATTAGGACAACTGGAGGAGCCTTGAGGCCTTTGCTGCGTTGAGAGAGACGTGGGATATGATAGATATGTATACGGAGGTAGCAGGTTCAGTTAGAGTTACTTCCATAAGTGACAAAGCCATTCTCAATTCCTTGTTAACGCTTTACTGAGCACTTTGATGGCGGACAGGTAAATTCGGCAAGCGTTGAAGTGTGGTGGTGGTGGTTGTTGGGGGGGGTGGGGGGTGGGGAGGTGGTATCGCGTCTGTTTTGAAACCAGTTGAAACACTTTGCCCCACGGCTCTTTTCCGTTCCTTTCTGGCCAAGGAATATTCCCCCAAATTCGATTATCTGGTCGCTAATAAAGACCAGGTCAAGAGCTAACAGATTTCTCCAAACTGCAAATCTACGCCGAGGCCGAACGCAGCAGAGCTCACACAGACCTTTTCCTTTGTGTTATCTCTGTCGGCATATCTCGTTCGGAGATAAGCTGTTATCTCGTGCCGTGGGTTTTTGGAGCAGCGTCAAAAAAGGAATTTTAGAATAAGCGGAGCTGTGGATCTGAGACAAATTGCTTAATTCTTCCTCTCTGGTGCTATCTCTGTCTGGGACGGGGCTCGCTGGCAGCCTTTTGATGTCCGCGACAGGGGGATTTCCTTTGTGTGTCTGAGTGTGTGTTTGTCTTGCTGTCTGTGTTGATACATATTACACACGCTCCTGTGCTGTTGCGCTAAAAATGACAGGTTTAATGTGTGATAAACGCTTGTCAGAAACAGCAGAAAAAAAAGAAAAATAAGACCCTTTTTTTTTCTTTTTTTTTTTTTACAGCCTGGGGTTTGGGTCGGGGCCTGTAATATTGTAAATTCCACATTGCAGTGATGAAATTCATCCTGTTTCTCATTATTCAATTGATGATGTCTACTTGAGCAAATAAATGGAAGGTGACCGATCCACTGTCATTGCTCATTTTCAACACAAGTTAACTGTGTTAGCGTCAGATCCTGCCAACATTAGGGTCATTCTCAGTGGTTTTATTTTCTCTTCTTCTTCTTCTTTCCTTCCTTCGCCTCAGGTGATGGGTCTGCTGAACCCGGGCGGCGTGCCACATCAGCCCCAGAGCGACTACGCCATCTCCCCTCTGACGGGCGGCCTCGAGCCCCCTGCCGGCATGGCCGCCAGCTGCAGCCAGCGCATGGATCACATCAAGGGCCTGGAGGGTCTGACCAGCGTTCCCTCCATGTCGGCTCTGCCCTCCCTGCCCAGCTCCCAGTCCTACTGCCCCCCCTCCTACAGCTCACCTGGCTACACTGTTGACCACGTGGCGTCCTACCAGTACGGCCAGTACGGACAAAGTAAGGTCAATAGACTTCACCTTTTTTTTTACTTCTACACCCAGACAAATTCAAAAGCAATATGTGATGTGTTTCTGATTGATTGATTGATTGATTATCTCAGGGTTTAGAGATCATGTGACCATAAAAACAACAAAGCTGCAAGATTGTTTTTTTAATCTCTGACCTCGAGCAATTTGAAAACCTTTCCAGTTTTCTGGTGCAAACCGCGGACTTGTTTTACAGCGGTCTTTCACTTATTTTCACCAAAAGAATTAAAATGAAAACATCTAAACCAAATCAGCCAATACAGTTTATGATTATCTGGTCCAGTCCAGTAGTGCTTGCTTTTCTTTATTTTTTATTCCAGACCCTGGAATAAAAAATGAAAAGCAGTTGTACATGCAGCTGACAGCACATACAGTAGGTAGCTGCTTGTTGAAGAGAGCTAACATTTCTCCGGGTCCAATCACGCAGTCTCAAGTGTTGGGTTTAATTGCGCAGATCTGATTCCATCTCTGAACTCTGCGGTCAGGTATAGTGTGGAGTCAGCTCCCATCAGGGTAAAGTGTAGCCGCGGCAGTGGCTGATAGCCCTCCTCAAGACCGCATGCCCTCAGAGAGTACTTACCTGCCCGGCAGTGAAAGGGTCTTTTCACTTCACATTACTGTCACTTTAAGGGGTTAAAATCAACTTCAAACAAATCTCCGTCTAACTTTGGAAGCGGCATCGCTCTCCGCTCCAGCGTGATTACAGCGGCCACCGTTTCCAATTTTGGTCCACAGGGGGTTTGACCAATCAGGTTCATCCACTGACCTTGTGGCAACCTCGAGACAAGCGGCCCCTTCAAAGAGCGTGGCAACGGTCCAATGAGTCTGACTGCATGTAGCTCTGTGGGGCAGCAGGTATCGAATGAATATCTAACTTAATATCCGAGAGCAGCAAATGTCTAATGAAATATCTCGGTCAAATATCTCAAAGTGGACAGAATAAAGAATTAGGGCGACACACATGAAAAACCACGAGCATGTGGCACTGTGCGTGTGCACGCGCGGGCTCAAAGGCAGCCACCGGGGGCGGCACGCGCACACACATACACCTCCGCAGCGTTACGAGCCCGAGCAGTCCATCTTGATGTGATTAATCAGTGCGACTGGATAGCTGGTGTGCGGTTGGGTTTGGAGCTGCGGAGGAAAGGTCCTTTCTGGGGGTGGACGGATCCTAATAGCCTCTGGCAGGGCAGCTATTAGAAACAGGTGCTCGGACTGAGGTCAGCTGGGGAGGCAGCGTTGAACAGTGCCGCTCCAGGTTCCAGTGCAGTGTAACAAACTGCTGCCTCACAGAAACTGCAGTGTTAATCTATGAAACACTTGTTTGTTTTTATTTAGGTAATGTCTCTGTTGCTAAGCAGACATTGATGTGGTGTTTACTGAGGTCACCTGTCAGTCAGTGCAGCCAATACTGTGCAGTCGGTAGAGTTTCTGTAGGTGGTGCTCTCTCTCTCTCTCTCTCTCTCTCTCTTTTTTTGTTTTACCTGTACAGTCATGGTGGAATTTGTAGCTCACACCAACTCCTCTGGTCTTCCAGAAACCAGGATCATAAAACACATCACTTACTGTGCATCAGAGCAAAGACCTGCAACTATATTTGGTGACGGAGTGAACCATAACATGGATTTTGGTAACATTTAGCACGTAGCTTTATTTGTCCTCGGCTGTGTCACGAAAGACGCCAAATTACATGAGACGAAATAAATGTGTAGATGATATGAACTGTTATAACCTGCAATATAAAGTATATTGAATTTGAATGCCTGACATTATATTTCATGCTGTATGCGCTCGTTTCTGAGTGACATTGATGCAATTTACTCCTCAATTGTTTGAGGATATGATGATAAAACTGATCATAGCACAAAAAGTGTCTCATATTTTTAAAATAAATTACACCACAACTAAATTTTCTACCATATGAACTCTATTTTACCTGTGCTTACCCATGAATCCAGTGATTTAAAAGTACTTACAGGGTGGTTAATATTAAAGTTACTCCTAAAGACAAAGGTATTACCCTGTTACCTTTTGTCTTCTTCTGTGGTACATATTTGTGTAGGTACCCACCAAGTACTTTATTGATATTTACTAAATAATTACACTGTAAATAGCTGTTTTTTAAAATTATGTCATTGTTTATTGTGCATATAAAATTCTTCAATCTTTTTGTAAGGATCAGGGTCCTTAAGGAAATTGAGGTTATGTACTTTATATTGTTTCTTGAGTTAATTCTATAATTTAAAAATATTACAAAACTGGTATTTTCTTTGCCATTTCTTTTATTTTAATGCAAATAAATACTTTTATTGCTAGGAGTGTGGAGTGTTTAGGCGATGTTGGGAAGTAAGATTTACAGAGTGACCAGTGAGTTGAGTATAAAAACCTTTTTGTTTTGGGAGTGGAGACTTGAGTTCATGATCTCAGTAATCATCTAAAAATCTTTGCTACAGCCCTGGTGGGGATATGATGCAGTATGTTGTGATGTTGCGGCATATGAATAAAAATGAATTGAATCTACTGTGGCATACGCAGCATGTGATGCATATATTCCACAGGATCTCCGTGTTGCGTTTCTTCACACTTCTGTTCTCACATCCCTTTACACTGACCTTACACGCCAAACTGCTGTTAGCACATGCTATGCTAACAATAGCCATATGTTAGCGGAATGGCACGCTAAAACATATTCCCAAAATTTATTACAGCCATATATCTCTTATCATCCTTCCACATTATTTAAAAATCTGGTAATAATTCAACAACTGTTTCTTCCTGTTTTTCTCTTCCAGGTGCCCTTCCTTATCTGAGGCCTGAAATCACCTGATCAGAAGCTTCGGACTTCTCAGAGGGACTTTTGTGTGTACAGCGATGGAAAATCTTTTAATATCTTTCTGGACCAAACTTTTTCTACCATGTGCCAGGACACGTTCACTACTGCAGGACTTTGCATTATTAATTCTTGGTGGAGAAAATGAACAAGAAGGAGAAAAAAAAAGAAAAAAAAAACTAAAGAAAAAAACAAAAAAAACAACAAAAACAAAAAAAGAAGGGACCACAAGAAGGAATATCAGACCAAAAACTGTTGATTGACTGTGAACATTGCTGCATCAGTATAGCAGATGACCAGCAGAGGTGTCAGCGCTTAATGTGGTTGGTTCGGCGGAGTTGTGACCAAACACCAAAAAACAGTGACCAAACTCCATCTGCGGACCGCGACGGCAAAACCCAGACCACCGGCCTTTGAGCCGACGCTTGAAGGAACGTGTTTACATATCTTAGGGCCACACGAGTACATATGAAATTCCATGTATCTCCAACTTAATCCCCGAATTGTATCTGCTGAAGTGGGGGGAAAAGAAAAGGGCTTTGTTGATTTTATTGCATTTATTTGAGCTCTCTGCATCCCACACATGGAGAGAAATTCCAGAGAGAAAGAAAACAAACGTGAGCAAATGAATCTGTGGGTTTTATGGTATCAGAAACTCTAATGTACACCACAGCTGTACTGCAGAGAAAGTTCATTCAAACATTCCTCCTCCTCCCCCCTCTGTCTCTCCCCCTCTCTCTCTCTCTCTCTCTCACTCACTCTCCTCTTGCTTTTCTTGTCCGTCTGTCTCATTGATGTTTCGGACGGTGAGGCGAGAATCCCGGCCTTTTGTACTTTGAGAGAGCGACTCGGAGGAGGTCAGGGGGTGACTTTAGGGAAAGTGACAGATGAGAGAGCAGTAGAGGGCGGCGGAGAAGTGGCTTTAAAGGCGAGGGGCGGGGGATAGGCAAGATCGATCACAGGGTTAAAAAAACTCTTTAAAAAGATCCTCTCCTGGAGAGTAAAAGCCACCGGGTCACAAGTCACGACCGAGAGACACTTGAGAGACAGAGAGAGTTTAGACTAAAGACAGCCACTCTCCCAGCTGACCAGAAGTGCAATATCATGTATCTCAGAGTCAACCTCACCATTAAAACAGTAAAAAAAAAAAAAAAAATCAAACATGCCTCCGAGAGTCTTACGAAACACGACTCATACTCTGGATTTAGTTTGGATCTCAGCAACAACACATGTGCCTTTGAAGGCCTTTGGGTCCAAAACAAATAGGAAACATTGCTAATATTGCTGTAATAGTACACTGAGGGGACCACATTTGTAAGGATTTAAGTCGGTGCAGTGTCACGAGCAAAAGAATGAATCAAGGGAAAAACAATGTAAACAGAAAATTACCAGGAATGACAAAGCCAAAATTGTATTTTGTATTGTTTTGTGTGTTGCTTGGGACCTTTTCTCTCTTTTTTTTTTTTTTTTGTTTTGTGTGTGTTTTCATTTTTGAAAAAGCAGGAAAAATCGATTTAGGTTCCTGATGCATTCTGGACATATTTATTGTCACAAATATATTGTATGTCAACCGTGTCATTGTAAAACATTTCCACATTGTACAAGTGAGTGACAAACAAAAATACTTTATCCATCAAATTACAGAGCGCCTCCATACGCACTCTTGTTTTTGTCCATCTGTCTATGTTAGAATGAACCAGTCCTTTCATTCCTTTGATATATTTTTTGTATTATTTGACAAAGCGATGTGACATAATGTCACGTGTACGAGCGCATTATCTCTACTATTTATAATAAAATAAAAACTCTGAAAATAGCCGCTGTTTTATTCACTTTTTTGCTCATCCAGTGGTAATTACTAAATGGACTCTTTGTATTTATTTTTGTCGGGACATGAGAAAAAGAAAGCAAGTGACTGTGATTCACTCTATAGAAGAATCTCGGAGACAAATATGTACTTTTGAAGGCGCTCATGTGAACCCTCCAACCAAAATAGGCCCGGCCAAATGGGGATCACCAGACATTAGATTTGACACAGAACACAACAGGCTTTCTCACGGATGGCTGTAAATGCTCAGACATCTGCATTGGTGTGTATTAATACCCCGCTGACCCCCGCTACTGTAACAAACTGACTTTTGTTTAACAACCTCTCAGATGAAGAGAACAGGCCTTAAAGCGTTTTGGACAAACAGCACACCCAGCCCCTCCAAAAAACCTCTGCAACCCATCCACCCTGCGTGCACACACAGGGCCCCCTCTGTGTGTGTGTGTGTGTGTGTGTGTTTGTGCACCACATGCATTCATACATTATGTTCATGTTCACATATAGTGTTGTTTCTGTGTGTGTGTGTGTGTGTGTGTCAATGCAGCCTGAGGGTATTAAGCCTAATTATAACATTCTTCTGATTAATCGTGTCTGCTCGCGGGGCTCGGAGGGGTGGCGCTGTGTGCAGCTCGCGCAGCCGGACCACACACTCTATAAATAAAGTCTAAGTCAATAACAACGTTAAGGATCACTCATAGTCTTGTCAGCTCTGTTTGCTAAGCCTGAATAATTCAGCCAATGAGAGGACACTGAAACGCACACGCCAACAAACACACACACGCACGCACTCTGGAAAAGTACAAGCAATGGCGCTCTAATCACCTGCGGTGTGCACAAACACTCCTGCGGATACACACACACACACGCTGCATGTAGGTTCATTTGGGCGCACATGCACACACACTCTGTTTGCTTTCTTAATCAGTCCATACCATTAAAGATGAAGACAAATCACACCTGCAAAATTCCAAAGCTCAGACATTACTTTTATTAATGAACCCTCCCCTGCACTGAAAAGCCTATTATTTCTTTAATACACCCCAGAGTGTAGTTAAATGGAACTATTTTAATGGCATTTTATAGTACTGCCAGATAATGACAAATTTTTGGATTGTTGGACCTTTGCCTGGTTGTCGAACTGCCAACAGGTCTTTTCGCTCCACACACAGCTATATTCAAATAAGTCCAAATTAAATAAGCTCATTTGTTTTCTAAATGTACTTATTTTTTTCCATTTCACAATGGAAAAATGTTCCAAAAACACAAATATAATTTGTTAGCCTTGCAAATGTATTAAATTTACATTTGTATTCCTTAAAAATTTAGTTTTATAGCAGTTTGCAAATTTCCTCGCAACTCCTGCGGCTCAAAGTTGACACCTGTGTGAACACCAGTGGAGTCGGGTTGCTGGCTCCCAGTGACGGTGCAATTATTTATCAAGGTGTTCATTCTTTTTTATGTTCTGCGTAGTGCGAGCTGATGTTTTCAGAGACTCTCCCGCTGAGACAAATACGCTCCCGCTGTGCTTGTTAAGACTTCTGAGTAGAAATAAATGTAATAAAAGGGAAGAAGTAAAACACTTCTCATCTAAAACCTCATTACACACACACACACACACACACACACACACACACACACACACACACACACACACACACACACAGTAACTCGATCTCTGTTTTTGTTTTTTTTCTAACACACACACACACACACACACACACACACACACACACACACACACACACACACACACACAGACACATTGAAGGAAACATTCATAGCCTTGTATAACCATGTGATCCAGTAACTCAAATCTTAGACAACCCCCTGGGTTTAAGAATTTGTTTTTTTCCTCAGTGTTGTGATCCAACATGACCTCAGATCATGCCAGCAGCTGCTTCTGTCATTCTCACCATGTTCAATGTGTGTGTGTGTGTGTGTGTGAATCTGTATCTAAGTCTCTACCATGTGTGCTGTGGCTCTTTGTCTCAATGCACAAAATGATCACCTTAAAAATGATCATGTAGTGAACACACTGACTCACAGTGGATCACGCACAGGTTTGAATCTGATGTCTGCATGTGTTTACCCCAGATGTTCCAGTTTCCGTCTACGGCCCAAAGACACACAGAGTGCAGAAGGTAAAATGGAAACTATAAATTCCATCTACACGTGAATGTGTTTGTGTGTCTATATGTGAGTCCTGAACAGGCTGAGCAGTTTAGAAAATGGATGGTTGCGTGTATTATCTTTTGAAAAGACTCATTATTTAAGGTCTAATTATTTCTTAAGGTACTTCTATCTCAGCTCTTTCTTTTATGACGCCCTTTTTTGACTGTGCAAAGAGATAATTTGGCCCAAATGCCGCAAAACTGAAGCCCAGTTTTTCGAAGTTCTTCAAATCTATTGTGAAAACAAACTTTTACTGATGTGGATGAATTGTTTTGGTGCTTGAAATGGGTTTACCAAAGTCTTAGGTTCATAGAAATACTGCAACATGTGAGTAAAATAGTAGATAAATGTTTAATAAATGCCTAAAATGACTGTCCCTCTACTTTAACCAAATTTTAGATGCCTGCTTCGAGGCCTTCTAGCTCCGCCTCTGAGTTACGCACGATCTAGCAAGGATATGAAATGGAAAGTGGAGAGTCTACAGTTTCTAACGACCATTTTTCTACGCTGTATTATCACAAAGATATTAATAGAAACATCTGTCGACCTCAGAGGTTTAAACAGCTGTATGTAAGCATTATCAAATTCGTCATTCGTCAAAAAAAGGGACCTTACCTAAGTCTGGGTGCACTTGTATCTGACCATAACTGCTGCCTCACACTGGTTTATGCACCAGTCTGTCGTGAGGTTGAGAAACACTAATTTTGATTTAGTAATTATATTAAGGTGACAGAAAGTAAAATTCAGCATGAAACCCAAGTCAAACAACACTAAATTAGATGCTAATATGCACTAATTTGCTTTTTTTCTCAGAGTTTCTCAAAATTCAGTTTTTTGTATTGTTTGCCGCATTTGGTTGGAAACCCACCTTCACTGTTCATTAAGAGATGTTTGTTTTTTTGTAATTTCGTTGATTGAACTTTTCCTAATTTTTTAAATATAAATTAACCCACCGCTGTTTAACAACATGTATGTCACGCTGCAAAACATCATCTGC